ACATGGATGGTAATGTACAAACGTAAAAGGCCAAGTTGGTTGGTAAAGGTTGCAACCAAGTTCAAGGAATCTATTATGAGAAAACTTTTTCACTTGTTGCCATGATTAAATCCATTCGGATTTTGCTTGCTATTTGCTGCATATTATGATTATGAAAGATGATAGATGGATATAAAAACAACATTCCTTAGTGGGAATTTGCAAGAAGAAGTGTATATAACACAACATAAAGGTGAAAACCTTCTCACTTGTTGCCATGATTAAATCAATTCAGATTTTGCTTGCTATTTGCTACATATTTATGATTATGACATATGGCAGATGGATAAAAAAACAACATTCCTTAGTGGAAATTTTCAAGAAGAAGTGTATATAACACATGTTAAAGGTTTCACATCCAAGGAGAGTCAGCATAAAGGATGCAAACTCCAAAAGTCTATTTATGGCTAAAGTAATCTTTTAGGAGCTAGAACATCAGATTTGATGAAACTAGTAAAGAATATAATTTTGTCAAGAATCTTGATGATCCATGTATTTATAAGAAGGTAAACAGGCAAGCAATTGTATTCTTAGTACTTTATGTTGATGACATACTACCAATTAAAAATTATATACCGATGTTGCAGATTTTCAAGATCTAAATGTTCAAACAATTCTCTATGGAAGATTGAGAAGCGGATTATATTTTGGGAATTAAGATCTATAGAGATAAATAAAAAAGGTTGCTAAGATTGTCCCAATCTACTTATGTAGACAAGGTGTTAAAGAGGTTTAGCACGATTGAGTCCAAGAAGCGACACTTGCTTATGTCACGATGAGAATGGACAGAATACCATATGCTTTGGTTATTAGGTCCATCACGTATGCCATGTTATGTAATAAACCAGATGTGGTGTATGCTTTGAGTGTTATGAGCAAATACCAATCGAATCTAGGTGAGAATTACTGGATTGCTGTGAAAAATATCCTTAAGTACTTACAAAGAATTAAAGATGTTTTCTTGGTATACAGAGGGGCTAAACTCCAAGTTAAAGCATATGGAGATGCTGCATTCCAAACCTATAAGGATGACAACAAATCACAAAGTGGTTTCATATTTACCTTAAATGGCACTATAGTCAATTGGAAAAGTTCCAAGCAAGCAACTATTGTAGATTTTACAATCGATTTGAATACATCTTCATGTTTAAGGCAACGAATGGGGGAGTTTAGATCAAGAAGTTCATAACTGAACTTGGTGTGGTTCCTAGCATTGTTGCTCTTGTAACTTTGTACTATAACAACAATGGAGCCATTGTGCAAGCAAAGGAATCGAGGTTTCATCAACGATCTAAACATGTATTGTGATGTTATCACTTGATCGGGGAGATCATTGAGAGAAGTGACATTAATACAAAAAGAGTACCCACGGAGGACAATTTAGTTGAACTCTCACTAAAACTCTATCCTTGCAGAAACGTGATCGCTAATTGGATGGCTTTGGTAGTAGATACATGGGCAATTGGCTTTAGTGCTAGTAGGAGATTGTTAGTGTAGACCCTGTAAGCTAATTGATTTTATGCTTGTAAAACACTACATTAATTAGTCATATTTCATGTTAAAAACATTATGGATATTTTATATAATGTATGAGGTATTTTTTTATCCATGAGTTTTTTTATAAAGAGTTATGAGAGATTTATGTAGATAAAGTCCTTGGATCATAATAGCCTTACAAAGAAATTATAAAGGTTATAGTTATGAGATTCTTATGCATCAAAGCTTTATTCCTATATATATTCGTGGTCATTGTATTGTTAAAAAAAGGACATTGATAATGTTTATAGGCTGGTACATGCTAAACCTCTTTACTTTGCAAGTAAGCAACTGATCTCATAGGTTGAAGTATGTGATATACTTAGGGATAGTATGTGAGTGCTTGTTAAGGAATAAGTTCACTGAACATGACTCACTATAAAAGTTTCATTTGGTGTTTCACTCAAGTGTCCATGAAAAAACTCTCATGTGTTAGTAGTGTAAGTAATCCTTTGACTTATTATACCAGGTCATCTTGTATGTGAATTGTCGTTGCTTTAAATTCACCTTTATGGGTTTAAAGGAGACCAGATGCCTAAACATGGTGCTTTTGGGTGAGGCATGAAACATGTGAAGATGAATAAGTAGTCTAGAGAGAATTCATCACCCTAAGTGATTTGCTCATTTGCTCTCGGCTTATTTTGACTAAAAGTCCTTGGCTAAGGCATTCTTGATAGATCAATATGGAAGCTATAAGACTAATATGGATAAGTTAAAAAGTAGACATCAAGCTAAGCTACTGTACACTAAAAGGTTAGTCAAACCATATTGACTTTTTTAACATTTAGATAGTCATGCTGTATTACTAGATACCGCTCATGATCTATAAATATAAATATAAATTCTTAATTGACTTAATTTATATTTATTGCTATCATGTTGGAGACCTAATGGGTCATACACGTTAGGTGAATTGAATTTGATCTAATTAATTTTATAAAGGCTTAATCCAATTAAATATTGAGTTAAATTAAATATGATTTGATGGAGTATTAAAATAAAGGCCTAATTAGCCCAAGATATTTTTTGAATCATTGTTGGACATAAAATAGGTCAATTCACTCTATAAAAGAATCCTTTAGCTATCTTTTGAACAAACAAAAGAGTTCTATTATTATTTTCGCATGTTTTGAGATAGGATTATAGCCAAGAAAAAAAAAACACAAGGGAGCTCAAAGTTGAAAGTTTGCTAACACAAGGTTTGTCTTAAGGATTCATACACTCTTAATAAAGAGATTTCGACAAATCATTGTGTGGATCACCATTTGAGGTAGGACAATTATGCTGCTATGGTTTGATAAGTTCTAGTTGGTATAAAAGAGTTAAAAACGAAAAGTTAATGAGGACTCTACAAAAGAAAGCAGACATCAAACTTTCAGGTATGTTGAAATCTTTCTCTTGTGGTTTTTTCTAAATTAATTTCAATTAAAGTAATCTATATCTTAAGGGATTAAAATTTTAATATTTCGCTGCATATGATCCACCTTAACATGATTCGAATCCTTTTAGGTCCTTCGTAGAACACCACAAAACAATAGAGAAGACCAAACATAGACTATGGAAAAAAAACAACCAACGTGTGCCTCAACAGGGCAAAAAAGAGAAGCCGCATCGATGAAGCAACGGCACAGAACGCAGCAAGAAAAATTTCCTTCATGAAGTATAGACGATGAGGCAACAAATTCGCCATAAACTCAAGGAAGCAGCAACACCACAAACACAAAAACCAACATCTGCAGAGACAGAGCGGCGATAGGTAACTCACAAGCAATCCTTGAGCCATTGTTGCAACGACAAACAACTCAATGAGACACTCAAACGGCTCCTTGGAAATAAATCCCTTTGGAAGCGAGGCACGTAAATTGCTTTTTAAAATATCTTTATTTTGATTTATATTTTTCTTGTGGTACATCTGTGGCTCTTACATTAAATAACAATTGTTGTTATTAAATAAAAATTAAAATTCTGAATTCATAAAAACTTTCAGATAGATACAAGAGAAAGGCTGATTATATCTTTGTTGGATGGATGGTTGTTTAGAAAAATGAGAAAGATGGTGGCGTCTTTAAGGTGGCTTTCATGATTTCCACGGATTAATATTCTACTGATTCACTTTTTGGGTATGCGTTCGTGCTTCAACATCTCTCCACGAATTTATATTCCATTGATTCACTCTTGGTTATGCGTCTGGGCTCTGAAATCTCGATTACTATAATCATGTCAATAGGTATCCCTATAATTGTCCATTGCTAGCTTCCTTCTTGGGCTTCCATGACTCAAACGATCGAGTGAGCACTTAGAACAAGTAATAATAACACTTCCTCCTTTCCCCAACCGTTGGCCAAATCGAAACTCGACCCAACTGTCATAGCCTTAACCCAGTGGCATTCCTCTCATTTTTGTCTTCTATCTCCCTATCCTTTCTCCTACCCTCCCTGACTTACTTCGACTGACTTATACGACAAAGGAATAAGCCATGACAATTAACAACTATCATATTTTTTTTTTTGAAAAGAAAAAGTTTAATTAGTTTGTAGGTACAAATAATAAAGAAAAATACACATTCTTGTAATTGTATGTGTATATGCACACTTCCATACCTGCCAATGAGAGAGACAGAGAGAGAGACAGAGAGAGAGATCCAAATTAATTTATTTAACATCAAATCATATTTTTATTGTAAATTTTAAAACTAAAGTAATACTACTAGTTTCACAGTACATTTTTCAATTAACTGACACACTTTTTCACATGAAATACAACATTTCAACATGAAATACAACATTTCATTGTTTATTTATTAAGTGTATCACATCTATACCACGCAATACTACTATATATTTTTACAATACAAATAACTCTAACATTGATAATATATAGATGGATAAAATTCTAGATTCAAACTATATTATTAGCTATGGTTAGTGGATGCGGCATATTAGTGTTGATTGTAGTAAAATCAGTGTTGCTGATATTCTCTTCTATCTGCATTAACAAACAATTTATATGAGTTAGTTGCATGTATTATAATGATAAACTACTAATAATGTATAATTATTACCTTATCTTGAAGATACTTATTTGCAGCATTCAGGATCCCTTCCTTTAACAAAAAATTAAAAAAAACTATTAAACATAAATATAAGCCATTCAATTCATATTTAAAATCATGAAAAGCTAACTATATTTTTACATTTTAAAATTATAATATTAAATTATTTATTTGAATTCAAATTTTTATTATATTAGACAATTACGAGTTTCCTAATTGAGCCACCTCTAGAAACTTAATAAAACATTTATATATGAAATAAAATTCCTACAGTATTATATATGAAAGCAACTACAATAAGAATAAGCTTATTTTAATAACTAATACTATTTTGAAAATACTACCACAAAATGACTTAAACAACATTTATAAAATTGCATATAAATGCAGAAGAAATTACAAAGGATAAAAGAAGATAACGAAAGCGAGATGGGAAGCAGATTGTAGGCCTAAGGTTAGAGGAGGGTCATAAAAGAAAAATATAAGGAGGCCAAAAAGAGCAAAACAATATCAAAGATGTGGGAGAATGTGATGAATTTAAAGAAAGTCGATAGGTTATCGAGCTACATTGGGATAGAGGGTCATAGGTGGTTACTTGGAAAAGACAAAAAATTCTTGTTTTAGTCGGATGAATGGCTGGAGGATAGACCTTTGAAACTCCTATTTCCATGACTTTTCGTTTTGGTATGCCATAAGAGAGTGAGGGTAAGCGTCTACTTTAGAAATGAGGAAACATGAGAAGGAGAGTGGGTGATTGAGTTTTGTAGATCACTGTGTGAGGGCAGCACTATGGTCCTTGTGGGATGCTGGAAATGAAATGGTGTTTAAAGGAAAGAAATGGGAAATAAGAACTTTGGTGGACGTGGTGAAATTAATATCATTCTACTGGGTGAAAGCTGCCGAGGAGAATCAAAATATCATTAAGTCAACATGGTGATAAAGTCCATAAGAGGGGGTTGTATCAAAGCATAAGAAAAGGAGAGATAAGAGACTTGAAGAGGTGTGGAAACTTCCAAATGAGAACTCCCTTAAATTTAAGATGGATGGGTTTGCTAAAGGAAAACCGAGCACATAAAACGAGTACTGAGGGATGACCAAGGGTAGATGTTAGTGCTACTTTCCAAGCTAATAAGGGAAGCTGACTTAAATTATGCAGAGATTAAAGCCATTGAGAGGCAAATAAGTGTGCCCATCATTTGGCCAAAATAGGCATTTCGAGGCAAGACATACTGGTGGTGTGGATTTGAAGAGGAGAAGGCCTTGTTACATTGATTTGTGAGCAGCTAAATGTGCGAAGATTCTAGGAAGCCTCTGCATTGATTCCTCATGGGATTGTGATCTGTGACCTAACTAGCTGCTGTCTAATGTTGTGCAATTTCCCTCTCCTATATATGTGTTTGATGCTGTTCTGTGCATGTTTATTATGGGTTAACTCTACGCTTGTGGTTCGTAGCTGATGTTCGAAAGTCTGCATTATGATACCTATGCTTGGAGGCTGGCAAGAGATTGCCTTTGCAGCTGGCTGATTTTATGCTTTGTTGAGCACTGAATGGTCTTTGTGCACTGTTCTCTGATTAGGGAATTTGAATGGCCTTAGGTAGTGTATTAACTCTGTTTCCAGGTGATCTTTTTGGGACTTGCACATGGTGGTTTTCTACTTTTGTAAAGGGTTAATTAAGGCTAAAATATGGATAGGTTGATTGGGTAAACTTGTGTTCCTCTATGGAGGATTACGAATTTAAAGTAACCTCATTTGCTAATGAAATTTTTGAATTGCTTATATATAAATAAATAGATAGATAGATAAAAACTTTACAATTAGTATCATTAAAAACTAGAAAAGATATCTAGATTTATCTTTTAATTACTTTATAGATATTAGTAATCACTAAAGAAAGTATCCTAATACTCACAAACCATCTTTGAATGACTAATTTTCAGCTACTACAAAATAACATTCTCTAATAATAACATCAACGAGGTATAGTGTAAATGAGCAAGCTACTCAGACTTGACTTAGTGAATACTTGAACTTGACCCATTGAGCCACTCGAGTAATGAGTCAAGTCAATTTCAAATTTCTTAATACTCAACTCAAGTGGTGAGTCTTATCAAGTTTTTAAAATTTTTAATAACATTTATTATTTTTTATATAAAAATAAAATATTATATTTCTTCACATATTTTAAGTTCTACTTAAGGTTTGAATTCGAGTTCGGTCTTGAACTTGAGTTAAGTATCAAGTTTCTTAGTCAAGTTGTTGATAATCGGGTTTAACGGATCAAATTGATAATTTTTTGTCTTTTTATTTTCAATTCCAAAAAACATTTTTTTAGATGCACAAACTGATAAACAAAAGCTATTTTATTGTGATATTTATTCTTCGGATATGAAATTGATAATTTTCAACTCTATAAAATACTATTGAAGTAGAAAATTGAACACTTTGAATAGAAAGAGGGAAGTGGATCTTTTAAAGGAGAAGATGAGTAAAATTATTAACATAGCACTTATCCAAAATAAAGTATTGACAAATTTTAGAGGAAAATCCTTTCATTTTTAAATTTAAGTAACAATGAAAAGTTAACTCTAAAGATAGAACAAGAAGAGTTTGAAAAGCTATCGAAGAGATTTACCAAAACTATTTGCTTATTTTATTCTTCCATAAACAATCATGAGATGTTAATATGATACTTTTTACATTATAATTTAGTTACTAATACTATTTTTTTAATAAAAACCAGGATTTACATTTTTATATAAATAAATTTTAGAAAGAGATTGTGTGCACTAAGGAAATACAAATGCTTCATATTTATATTTAAATTCTCTTTTTCTTACTTTGTTTATTTGACATTTATGTAATTAAACTATTATGTTCTTTTTCAAGAATAAATAAAATTGATTGAAGTATTTATATTGGGCAAAGTTTAAGTACAATTTTTTAGATCAAATTTCATCCTAAAATAATTAAATAAAAAGTAAAATTAAAATTTTAAAAAATAGCTGGATAAAAAATTTAGTAAATGTATAGGAATATGTGAAGAATTGATTAAAAATGGTATTCATACACAAAATTTACCGGAGTTGTTGTTGAATGCTGAAAATTTTGTCAAATTTGTTAATAAAAGTAGCATTTTCTCCATGATATGCAGTGGTATTTGTGATTTAAAAAAAATAAATAAATTAATTCAATTTTATATTCATGTATTATTTTAAATTATAATTTTAAAAAAAATATCTAAAAAAGAAATATGAAAACTAAAGATGGGTGGAAAAATGAATTAAGAGAAAAATTATGATAACATTTTTCTATTGTCCTTTTTATTTTTTTTCTTCTTTGTCAAATGACGCTTTCTCTCTCTCTCTTTTTTTTTTCCTCACCTAAAGACACAAATTATTCTAAGTTATAACAAATTTTTTTTCCTCACCTAAAGACACAAATTATTCTAAGTTATAATAAATTTTTTTATATACAATTTATTCAAAAGTAAAGAAAAGAAAAAAAAACCAATCATTGCATTTTTATTTTTATTCTTTTTTCTTTCCTTTAATGTACATTTATCACTATTATTTAAATTCAATTTTTTAATTTTTCATTTAATTTATATTTTTATATTTGAAGTTATAATTTTTATGATTTTAATCTAAACTGATTATCATATTAAAATAATAGTAATCAAAATATTTATATTCTTTTTTTTTCTGTTCATCTACCTACTCATAAAATAATTAATATTTAATTAAAAAATAAAAATATATGTAACCTTGTAGCACGTTTCAGCATATTTCAATCTTACTTAATTTGTCTATATATGATATTAATCATACTAACCTTGTTCCTCAACATTTGAATTTCTTGAAACATAATGTCCATCTGCATTTCAAGTGACAAATACAAAAAATTATGAATTAAAATTGTGGTATTAACTGGAAATTAATTCAAGTAAACTTTAATGAAAATGAATTATACCTTTGTTGATCGAATATGATAGATCCAAATTTCTAAATGCTTTTCAAGCACAAAGAGTTCATCTAATGTCATAATTTCTGATCCCCCTCCAAACATATACCTGTGGAAAATCCATATAAGATTTTAATATACATGATATATATTTACATATATGTATAAGTATATGTATATGTATATATATATATATGAGTAATATACATGGCTATTAATACAATAAGATTTGTTTTACTGTGTTGAAGAATTTAGTCATATGATGTACTTTAAGTTAATGTATTAGTGGCAATTAAGTAAATGGTGTTAATAGCAATACAATTAAATTATAGTCAATTTTGTAAATACTAAAAACTTAATGGCCAATATAAACCAACATTATAATTTACAAACACTTCATGATTGGATTCAATAGAGAGTTCAAAGATCAAAACCCATTTTCTCTCTCGTTCTTCTTTGGCATTCATACTTTCTATATGGTATCAAAGTACTAATCACTCTTTGTTGTATTTATTTTTAAATCTATTGTTCTTTTTCTTATTATCTTCAATTCTATTGATTGATTCTTGCATTCTATCTATTTTTTCTTTGAAATTTTTAGAAATGTCAAATCTTGGGGTTAAAATCCTAAGCAACGGTTTGCCTCATTTTACCTTACTTCCTCCACCACTCCAACAACTAAGGCTCAATAGTCATCACTCTTAAGTTAACTTCCACCAATTATGCAATTTGAACTCGTCCTTTCCGTCTAGCCTTGGTGATTAGGAATAAAGTTGGATTTGTTGATGGGAGCCACAAACCATTGATGAGACATTATGTCATAGAGTTATTATAACAACCTTTTAGTCATTTGGCGTTTGGAGTCCATCTTATTGTAAGTGGTAGCTATTGTGTTCTATATGAACACTACTCGTTAGATATGGGAAACCTTGAAAAAGAGGTTTAGTCAACTGGATGATGCATGAGTATATAATTTACAATTATCTCTTTGTGAATTTAGATAGGGAATTAGGTCAATTGATGCGTATTTTTTCTAAGTTGAATGGATGGGAAGAGCTTAGAAATTACAGGCTTTTTCCTCGTTGTAAGTGTGAAAATTTTAACACAAAATATTTCTAGGAATTCATTAGTTAGTCCAGAAAAGATAATGTTTTCCATTGCTTAAATGGTCTCAATGATTGTCCTATAAAAGGGATGAAAGTAACGAAAATAAAGTTGGGTGTGCTTTCATTACTAATGATGATGATTGTGATGTCCTTACAATCTCAAAAAACATGGATGCAAATTTTGGTTGGTATTTATATTTTTGCTTCGACTACTCACATAAGCTATTAGAAGGATTATTTTGATTTACTTCAAGAAAAGGCGATCAAGAATTTAAGTTTTGGCAATAATTCAATAATGAAGGTTATAGGTCTTGGAGTGGTGAAAATCAAAATTTTTAATAGGGTTGTGTGCTATTTGGATAGTGTGATGTATGTCCTAGACATGTGTAAGAATCTAACATCATTGAGCTTGTTACACTCTAAATGGTATGAACATTCTACATGCGATAGAGTGATAAAAGTCACACAAGGCAACATGGTCCCGATGAAGGGAAATTTGCATAAAGGTTTGTATCGTCTATAATGTAAGGCTTTAAAGGGATGGGAACAGTGCACATGAGATTGTAACTACCATAGTGAGATTTCATTTGCTGAAGAGGTGATGAAAAGGTCCCATGGTGTAGAAGAGGATGAAAGGATGAAAAATCTTACTAATGGAAAATTGGAAGGGTCATTAAGGTCCCTTTTCAGTGTTAATTAGTGTTATTGACTACACAAGTGCTTTGGCCATTTTGTGGAATCGAGTATTGGACCATACTTGATTCGGTGTGTGTAGTTGTGGTAATTTTAAAGGCCAATGGTTTAGAAAGTCTTGTGTTTGGAGAGTTGTTCAAGGTATTGGAAATTCTTATGCTTGGAAAGTTGTTCAAGGTGTTGGAAAATAGGTGGAGCTAGCAAATTGTAGTTTAATGCAACCAATGGAAGAGGTTTAAGGAGTTTGAGTTCATGTCAAAGATGGAAGTTTGTTGAAGTTTTAGGTTAACTAGAATTCTAAATCTTATTTGACTAGGATTCTTGTTTATTTACAACATTGAATAGTTGTACAGCTTTAAACTTTTTGTTCCATATCGAGTTCGAATCTCATTTTTCTTTGGAGTTTTATATTATAAAAGTAAATATCTAGGCTTTAGAATTGTGAGTATTGCTTTTGGAGCTCTAGAGAAGAAACACTATCTTTTATAAAAGTAGATATCTATCTTTTGCTCTAGGTGGTGCTAGAGTGATTTAAGTGAGTGTTCTTGAAAGGCTATTGAAAGAGGATGTGCAAGGAATTTTGGGTTTATTGTAATTTAATTTCTCAATAAGACAAGAATAGTTTCACTTCATGGACGTAGTTAAGAGGTCAAATTATGTAAATTCGTGTATTTTTCTATTTGCTTGATTTCTCACGATTTTATATTTCTTGTTTCTTGGACAATATCAAAATAGTACCTTTATGAGAAAGATAAAACTTTTAGTATAACAGTATGCAAGGATGAATATATTAGCTTTTTCTAGCAAACTTTGATAAAAAAATAAATAAGATAAAGAACCTAGGAGAAACTATATGTGATACTGTCAAAAGTAAATGAATTTCTATTACCTGAGACCTTTTTGAAGTATTTCGATCTCTTGCTTCAACATGTCAATCTCCTTTTTTGCTTCCTGGATACATTTAATAAAATTTTCATAAATAAAAAAATAAAAATTGTAAACTTTTTCTATTTGTGCATAAGACACATGAATATTATGTTAGATTTTCTCAAGTAATAAAATTTGGACTTACATTTTTTAATTTATTTTACCTTTTATATAAAAACAAGTTAAGCTTATTTGGTCTTGATAAAGTGACAATATTGTAGTCCATAATATGATCTAATAGTTTACTTTCCAAAAAAAAAATGATCTAATAAAATGGCTACTCTCCAATATTAAATGTGGTTTAAGAATGTTGGCTTATGTAGGAAACCCTGAATCCTATGATAGGTGGGACTAGGGACTAACTACATAAAAGTATGGCTAGGTCTCCACTCCTTTTACACTACTACATTAAGGTCTCATTCATTAGAGAGTGATTAGAAAAGAGGGAGGAAGATCTGAATCTCAACAGTTAAACTAGTCAATATTGCTTCTGTTATCAAATCACAAATAAGAAATCATGCACTTTTTTGTGTGCAAATTCTTGCTATAGTAGATCTTAGATTAGTATAAATTAATTATACATAAGGTTCATCAATTTATATTAGAGCCACCATGATTAGGATTTAGAAACATAAAGAATTATATTTTTATGATATTAATAATGACTGCATGTTAAGGTCTCATGTAGTTTTGAATTTGTATGATTACACTATTAAAAATCATAATTTCCTTATAAATAGTGTAATTAAATTCCGAGCATGCTTAATTGATGATATATTATCGATCATATGGTTGTTAGGTTGGCTTATATACATGTAATTGAATGAAATGATATATGCTTAATTAGGTTTTTCAAGGGTTGCAAGTTTAAACAATTTTAAGCCAAGAACAACTTGATTCTATGTAATTTTGTTAAATTACATTGATTATTTATTCCTAATGAGTTAAAATTGTTATTAAGGTAAAACTTGACTAAACCTATAGATTTCATCAACTTAGGCACTACCTTTTTTAGATATTATATTTGGCAGAATGGATCTTCTAGTTTGGTTTGAATTTGTCGAAAACATACCCTAATTGATGCATTTTAATTTGAATTAACACAAATCTTTTGTTTCTCTTAATACGAAGGCTAAATTTAAAATCCAATTCATGAATCAATTAAAACCTTGGTATTTTATGTGTTCTCGTTTGAATTTATTTTTTTATAAATAAGTTGGTTTATTTTATAGAGATAAAACATAAGTTTTGATTGCATAAAATATAGGATTTAAAGGATCAAATAATTAGAAAACCAAAATTGGTCAAGAATGGGCATGAAAGCCAAAATCATTAGGCGGTTAATCTTGATTTATGTCGCTTTAAAAGATTTTGATGAATAGGATTCATAAAAAAGGTGTTTTAATTGAGGTTGAATGGAAAAATTCAAATCGAGTTTGACCTTTTTTTTTCCCACAATTCTGTCCGCTCTCTTATCATTACTTGTTTGTGTAATATTTCTGATTTTGAGTGCATGTTCAATATTTGTCTATTTATTTATTATGTGCATTTAATTGATTATTCCATATGTTTTGGTGAGATATTTCTAGAATGCATGAGACCAAAAACTAACATGCATATTTTGATTTTACTGGCAACATGTATTCTCCCTAAATATTTATATATCTTATATACTTTCGAAATAAAGTTATAGAGTGCAAATCGATAATTAAAGCCTTATAAAGTGATATTTTCCAATTTTTCAATGTAACAAGTTTATTTAGTGACATGGCTAGAGATATAATGATTGAATATCTCATGAGATTATGTCACATATGTAGGTAAAATTTTTTAAGTATAATACCCCATGCTTATTAAGTTAATGACAAAATAAAGAAATCATACTATGAAGTTTGTATGGGTACATATTATAAAACAATATCCTATTATGGAAGAAGTTTCCATATATGCTATTTGATTTGCAGTCACCAAAGTGACCAATTAGCTAGTGTTGTGGAATTATCATTCTCATATGTTTTTGGGATGTCTCTAGTTTTGGTGTACCTTCATTCACCCAAAGGTGGTGTTTTTATATTAAAATTAAAAGTTAGCACATTAATGCATGCTTATGGAGATGGCCAGCTCTAGTAGTTTATTCACCTAAACGTGGTAAGTTACAAAGTTGTGTTATATTCTCACAATTGCTTTTATGTTAAAAGGTTTCTGATTACATGTCATGCATTCAACACAAAGGTGGACCTACATTCATAAAAGTAGTGCCAAATGACGCCACTCATTTACCAAAAATATTTACTTGTTATACAAGTTATCTAAAATTTTATATAGTTTAATATACTAATTAACCCTATAATTTGTTTGCAATTTTGTGAGGAATGGGATCAAAGACTCCAAGTCAAAGTAGATTTATCAAAAAGTAACTTATATATTAATATTTAAATACCACATGTAAAGACAAAAAATTTCCTTCAATAATTTAAGATGTTATTAAAAAAGTCAAAACCTAAACTACTTTTCCACACAAAAAATTCAGTTTTACTCTTTGAGACCCACAGTGACATTTCTTTTTTCTTGATCCTTGGTTCTGTTTTTCACTCTCTCAAAATAATTCATCTAAGCTTCAATTGTAAGTAATTTTCAATCCAAATTAAGTTTTTAAATACTTCATGTCTAAATATTTTTTGATTAATTTGATAGCTCGGTGATATGTATTGAAAAAGATGTATTTAAAAGTGTTTCAACTGATGCTATCTTGCACCGTTTTCAAAGTATGAAAAATTGTCATGGACAATTATAATTATCTTAGATATTTTTACTCTAAAGTATTAAATAAATGTACTAAATTTATATTTTTTTAAATTTAATGTTAACACGTCTAGTTTATAGATTTTAACATATTTTTTAATTATTATTATTTTAGTTATGACACCACTCAGAAAAAGTTTTGGATTCGCCCTAATTCAACTCAAAGGTGTTTACATGATGATAACCTATATCTTTTGGATATATTAATTTATGATTTTGGATTATTTTGATTATCCTAGTTTTTCAAATTAAGTTACATTGGTTAAATTTTCAATTACCTTCTTTGTCTACAATAATATAGCCACCATTGAGATTTATCTATAAAAGTCATAGATCTAGCTATGAATGTAGATATGCCTACAAAGCACACTTTTGAAAGTTTTGAAAATGATAAGAAAGCCTTTGATACATGAAAGAGATCCAATAATTTTACCTGCTTTTTCTTTTTTGTTTTGTTAAGCCATTTCTTCATTTAGTAAATGAAAAAGACCCTCCATTAGTGAGCTCCCATTTAATTGCTCAAAACATTAATGGCTGGTTATTAAGAGGTCAATTCTTCTACACATGTTAAGTGGATTTCCTGATACCATTAAAATAAAGGAGTTCTTAATTGTAGTAACGTAAAGGCATAGGGTGTCATCAAATGTTGAAATCGACACTTTTCAAAAAAGATTTTGTTCCATAAATTAAGATGGGATAGGAAGAGTTAGAAAGTACATCATTAAGATCGTTTATTAAATCTAATGAGCCTAAAAAGTTCAAGATAAAAGGAAAGAATCTAGTCAATCAATTGGCCACTGTAAAAGATCTTAAACTTGTCATCAAGAAGGAGCATAAGCATTTTTTTTGTAAGAAAAAAGGATAGAAGAAACAAAATTGTCCCAAACACAAAGCTTGACTAGTGATTTACGAACACGTAGAGATTCATAAGTAAGATGAAGTCAAATAAGGATGAGTTTAGAGTCATGATTGGCAACAAAGTAGAGGTGAAAGTCTAGTTAGTAGGAATAGTTTGCCTTAAAATTAGTTTCAATTTTTTTATTAGACATTGCTAGTTAAGTTTTGAAATAAAGGATTCAATTATTAGGATAACTAATGATTCAGGAAATATTGACTTGTATTCTCTGACTCATGAATTATATAGACTACGTGTAGCTTACTAATCAATATTTATGTCACCTCATATTAAGTTTAAAGAGTTGCCAAAGGACCTTACATTAAAGAAACATCTTCTATATTGTGGCATGAAAAACTAATTACATTTCTAAGGAACTGGTAGAATAGTTGATAAAGTATAACATCATGCCTAGATTTATTTTTGATGACATGGAGGCAAATGCTAATTGTTGTAGGGGTAAGATGACGGAGATAAAATAAAGAGATCAAATAGAAACTTTGATTTATTTGAACTCATTTACACTGACATAAGTGGACCATATACCCCTACTATCTACAATAGTAGATAATTTGTAATATTTATTAATGATCTTTCTCGTTGTGGTTACATGTTATTTATTAAAAAAAAATTTGAAGCTCTTGATAAATTTAAGATCTTTAAGACTAAAGTTGAGAAATAGTTAAGAAAAATCATTAAAATTGTCAACTCTTCTAAGGGTGGTGAATATTATGGTGGACACTACACAACTGGATAGCAAAAGGGTTCATATGCAAAATTTTAAAAAAATTGTGAATAGTGTCCCAATATATGATACTTGGTAATCTTGAACAAAATGATATGGCTGAAAGTCAGAATCATACCTTGAAGGATATGATGAGTAAGGCTAATTTACCAGAATTTTGAAGCAATCAAAATAGATGTGTATATCGCAAATAGAATTCCTACCAAATCTATACCTAAATCTCTTTCAAGCTTTGGACTTGATGGAAACCTACTTTTAGTCATTTATATGTTTAGGGATGTTCTTCAAAAGTGCACCTTTATGATCCATTAAAACTAAGATATAGTATTGTTTCACTCATTGCTATTTTATTAAGAATTTAGATCATTATATAGGTTATAAATTTTATTGCTCATGTAAATGTGATAAAATTGTTAAAGTAAAATAACTAAGTTTCTGGAGTTACATATGGCTGATAGTAGTCGCTCTCATGATAGAGATAGAGGAGAGCATATTAGGACTTAAGTATTCTTATACCTATACAAAAGGATACCGTGGCACATACACTAGTTAGGGGACATGAAAAAGGTTAACTAGTTCCTAATGAAGTCACTTGACATTAGAATGTTGTAGAACAGATGCCACAAAGAAGATCCATTAGGATATAGAAGTCTGCTCTTTCCTTAGACATTTATAAATTCAATTTTGAAGATAGTGATTATTATATTGACCATTTAGTTGATCTAGTAATGTTTTTAGAAGTGCTTCTCGTCCTAATTAGATCTATGGTGAGATGCAATGAGGGATAAGATGCAAACTATTTCACACAATGGTGTGTGGGAGATTGTTTGAGCTAAATAAAGGTTGCAATCCCATTAGCTGTAAATGGGTGTACAAGACCAAGAAAGATTCCAAAGAGAAGATTGAAAGATTTAAAGTTAAATTGGTTAGTAAAGATTTTACTCCAAAAGAAGTTATTGATTACAATGAAACATATTTTGTTGTATCATATAAGGATGTTGTTTAGAGTGGTCATGACGCTAGTAACTTACTATAATTTAGAACTAAACCAAATGGATGTTAAGACTGTTTTTTTGAATGGGAATCTTGTTGAGTAGGTTTATACATTGCAACCTGAAGGATTTAAGAACTACGGTGGAGATTATCTTGTGTGTAGAATCAAAAGTGTGTTCATGAGTTTAAACAAGCTTCTCGTTTGTAATATCTTAAATTTGATGAAATTATAATCTCTTTTGATTTTGTTGAGAACAAGGTAAACTAGTACATATATCTCAAGTTTATCTTTTTTTGTTTGTGAAAATTGTAATCTGGGAAGTTTGTTATTGAACTTGTAGAGTCTTTCCCTGGTAAAAATTGTCTATTCTTTGTGTTTGGTTATTTGGTTATCGGCTCTGTGTCAAACAATTTCTGTATTTTCTGCATCATCTCGAGCAAGTTAATTTCATGGAAAGCATTTTTCTTAAAAAGAAAAATATGATTTTTGACTATTCAACAATTATTCTACTCATCAGCATTTATACAATCTAAAGAATTTCTTAAGTGGTTAGAGCTTGGGATATTTTCTGGGCATCTTGAGTGAAAATAGTGATAATATTTCTATAGATAAGTTGAATAAGAAGAATCTGATTCAACATCCACTTTGCCAATAACAATAGACATAGTGATAATATTCGTTTTGTACTTTATGTAATGCACACAGAAGAATATAAGAAGTGAAGATTTCGCTTACCATAGGTTCTGCTACGGCTTCAACAGGCTGAGTTCTTCCGTTGTAGTTGGTATACCTCTCAATAAGCCCTTGCATGGTCCTTGAAAAATACAAATCAAGAAAGATAAATAACCTTTCACATGCAGCAAAGAAATTGTGCTTAACCTATTGAAGAATTAAGAGTTGGTCTCTAAGGATTGTTATCCCTCTCTGTCTCCTTGACAAGACTAAGGCTTGTTTGTTTGTCATGCTACATTAAGTCTATCTATATGTGTGTATTTATACAATGAACGTAATTTACGTAAAGAGGGAGAGAACAAACCCTTTGGTGGCTAGTTCATAAAGCTTTCCATGGGCGGAGAAAATGACAACGCCAATTTCGGCGTCGCATAGCACAGAGAGCTCCTTAGCCTTCTTAAGGAGGCCAGCTCGCCGCTTGCAGAAGGTAACCTGCCTGTGCACCGGGTTGTCAATGCGCTTCATCTGAACTCTACCACGGGCCATCTGATTAACCTTTGACTAAATCTGTTTTCTCTTTGTTTTGTTTTGTAAGAGTGTGTGTTGTGCTAGCTCGCCTCTGCAGACAACCTCCCACTAGTTTAACTAGCTTCGAGGTTGTTGCAAAACTACTCCCCTCCACAAGAACTTGTCTAACAGTGGCTTCTCTTGCGTTAGAGTTTCAGCCCTTATATTGTTCCCTTGGATTCTCCTCAATCGCTTTGACAGAATAATTACTCGACAGCCTTCCTTTACACACTTTCACTAATAATCTTTCTTTAATATTTAATCTCTCTCACACCAACTAGCTTTTTGATTAATCTTTCTGCCTTTTCAGTTTCCATTCTGTAGCGAAGCACCTTCTACAGCTGCATGGTGACAAAAAGAGACTCAGTGATTTTTCGTTTAACTTTCATATATATATATATATATATATATATATATATATCTACTGCCACGCCCAATTCTTCATAGAAAATAGATTGAAGTACTTCAATCGGACATCGGATAAGGAGAGAGATCTTTAGACATTTAAACGTGGGTTCTGTACATTTTATGAGGTTAGTTTCTCGGAAAGAAGATAATGACTCTGTGACAAGATTATCGATATATATCAAAAGGTATATTAATTGAAGTCGTCCACTAGAAAGGGGATGGCTTCGCAGGAGGAAAGTTGATAGCTTAGTCAGCAGAAAATAGCCTTTTCATGTGCAACCCAACTCCATCACCAGCCAATGAGCCACCCTATATTAGATTCCATGGCTTTTTTCCCATCACTTTTTCCATGTATCTTGGCCTTCACGCGTTGCTCTCTGTTTTAGTGACAAATTCTTAAGTCATTATAAGGCCTTTAAAGCACTGGCTGCTTTTCTGAGCAAAGTATAAGTATTTATAGACCAAAACCCCTTAAAGTCAGGTTAACAATCCTCCCACCATCCTAATTAAACAATTTAATTAATAAAGGCACGGACAAAGAATCTTGTCAAATCACTTACATTCAATAAAAACCCTAAAAGTGATTTTTACCTTTGATCTCTCAAGATCAAAGGTTTGCCTCAGATTTGCTTAATCATTCGACACATGGATATTCTCTCCAAAGCTGCTACGTGGATCTGTTCCTTTTTCAGAGTGATATAAAGTTTAGATTCCAATTCCGTAATAACTTTTTTTGGAGTGATTAAATTAGCTTGTCCAAAGATGGCTTTTAGAGAGTTGTTATTTGTAGTGGGCTTAGCTTGCTGGCAGTGGACAACTTTCATGATACAAATCCAAGGGTTGTCGTTTTATCCATAGCTTCTCATTAGTCATAATTAATAAGCGGCATGGATAACTTAATCTAGAATATTGAGAAATGTTAAAACTATACAATAATTCAATTCTCTGATGATTATTCTCATAAATATATTCTCGATATATTTATTAATTCCATATTATTTGTGAGTGATAGGATAGTACTCCAACTATTGAATCTAGAAAACAGCATTACACTACAAGCATGTAATAAGTCAACAACAATAAGCATAGAAAGAAAGGGTTGTAAAAAAAAAGGAATAAGTTACGATGGAGAGAGGGAAGCGAGAAAAGGCCTAACAACGAGATAGAACTAAATTGAAGATTATTAGATGGACATCATACTGTATTCATGGATAACCTTAGTAAGAGGGTGACATGGTTTGCACTGAAGGAGTCCTTTGAGAGGTACAGCGAGGTGCTAGACATTTTTATCTCATGGAGTAACATTAAGATTTAGAAGAGAGGTGCAAACTTTACATTTGTTAGATATGAAAAGGCGAAAGAGATGGAAAAAAGCCATTAAGTAGGGCTAATTGATGGGAGGAGGATAATAGTCACCAAAGGTAAACCGGTGAGAACAAAAGGGAAAGAGCAAGCGAAAGTGTAAAGCTAAGACAACTAGTGGAAAAAGTAAAGCAAAGACAACCGGTGCAGATAGTAAACATGGAAAAGAGGCTAGACAATAGAACGTACAGTGAGGTGCTCAAAAGGGTAGGCAATAATGATTAAGAAAATGAAAGTAGCAAATGAAGTATAAGGAGGTCAAAGGCAAGTTAATGGTGGAACAAGGTAACAGTGAAAAGCCTAGTATATAAGATGTAATGCAATAGGGCAAAGGTTTAAAGGCCAGGGGTGAGGCAAAGATGTGCTTGACCACCATCATTCCAAATAAAGACATGGCATGGCTTAAATGCATTATGGTAGGGAAGTTAAAGGCACGGATGAGATATACAATGGTCAAAACGAGATTATCCATGGAGGGAATCTTAGTCAAAGCTTATCCTATTGAAGGTTTCTTTATCTTTTTAACTGTCTTTGACGCAGAAGAAATGGAAGCTTTAGTCGAACACTATTCAAAACTATTTTGAATTGGTTTGAGAAGATTATCCCTCTTGAGGAACATAAGGATATGAATAAGGGTATGTGAACTTATAATTGTTCTCCAACACAAGAGCACTTTCATTGCCATTGGTGAAAGCTAAGGACAATTGGTGGTAATGGATAAATCCACTCATGAGAAAGAGAGATTTGACAAAGCCTTTATCTTGATTGAAGTAAAAAGAAAGAATGTCATTTCAACAAGGGTGAGATCAAGGAAAATGGTAAGACATATGCAGTCTACTTATCACTTGTCTACCCAAAGGATCAGTGTGGCCTTTCCATGTATAATGAGAATGAAAAGGAGAAATGAGAAGAGGAGTCCACATTGAAAGAATTCTAATAAACAGAAAACTAGGGAACTCATAATGGTGAGTTGTCAACAAGTAACAAGGGCTAGATAAACCCAACCCCTGAGGTAAGGGATGTTGTATAGGTAGGAAAAGAGGAGTCAAGGAAGTTCGAATTGACTTGTGAGAATGAGAAAGTTGCTATTAAAAGTATGCAGGCAAGAAAAAAAAAGTGACATTGTGCAGTTGGAGACAACCTAAGCAATTCTAGCCAACATTAAGCTCTGCTCCTAATCTAAAACTCTTGTCCTCATGAACCTACATTCATATGCTAGCAAGACCAAAATCAAGAACAACATCACGTTAAATTGCAGAAATGATATATGAAATTTTTATATTACTTGATTGTTGGCACAAATTAGCCTATGATAGTTGAGATCAATCATTATTTCATCCGAAAAAGTTGCACTGCACCAAATGCATTTCATCATTTTTAGGTTTTTAGGAGAATAAGTTTTCTAAGTAGTGACGTGTTTTTTGGATATACAAAAAATTACATATGGAGTACTAACAAAAAATTACATTGTTAATGCAATTTTGTCAAAAAAAAAATGACTGTAAAAAGTCTGACTAATAGACAATAAAGGAAAAAGGAAAAAAGAGGCTACAAAAAAGGTGAGAAAGATGGATGGATTATTTAAAAAGAGAAAAACGTCAACTGATTCGAAATAAAGGCAAAGGATGGATGAGTGATGGAGCAAGATTGGAGAGTATTGTTAGGACACAATTAGACACCTCGAACTAACCTAAATTGAGGGAGAAAGAGATAGGCCAAGTTATATAAATGGGACTTCAAAACATTACAGACAAACCCCTCCAAGAGCAAGCCAATGTGAACAATTAAGGGCTTATAGAGGGGAGCTCGTCAATAGAGGAATTGGATTGAGAAAATAGGAGCATTGTAGATGAAATCGAACTAGACAATGTAGGGGAGAAAATGGATCTAGTAATTATGTTTGTCATAATGGGTAAAAGCCTAAATGTGGAAGTCAACCACCATTGAGCTATTGGTTTGAAGAATGATAAGTTGAAGGCCTATTTTCCAATTGAGAATAGAATGAGAAAATAATATCTAGGCTTTAAGGACAAGGGAGATAACACCGATAATAGAGGTAAAGGAGCACATTAAAAGTGTAGAAAAGCAAGAAAAGAAAATTCACAACAAAACACACATTGAACACATGGAAAAGTTGGCCTGTTACATCATCAAGAATGATGTTTACAGTATGGTAGTCTCACATAACATAGGAATAGAATAGGGAAAATAATTGAATGGAGGTGAAAGGGGTGTCTAGTAGAATGAAAACTAGTGATTCTGATAATCAAATATTCGATGGATTTTAAAAGGTATGACAATATAGCGAATGAGAGTATTGCTTTAAGGGTATATGATTTAAGGCACAAAAGAGAGGGATCAATGGTTCATTATAATAATTTGAAAAAGATGAAGAAGCTTATTTAGGGGATTGAGGAAAATGGCAATTTAATGGAACGCAAAGTAATTGAAGCGACTAGGCAAATCAAAAGAATGAGAGATAGACAGTGTAAAAACAATAAGAATGGCATTCCCAAGAAGATAAAAGCAGAATCAAGCTCAAAGAGAAGAAGAAGTTGGAAAGGGAAATCAATCAAGTGATAATCGATGGGAATAAGGAAATGACGTAGAGTAAAGAAGACTCAATCTCGAATAGAAACATCCAATATCGCAATTCGATGTCAAAAAGAAAGTTGAGGCGATTTGGGAATTGAGCAATAAATTGGGCGTGGTTTTCTAGTGGGATAAAGAAGAAACTATATTGTATTTTGAGCAAATAGAGAAAACAGATCATCACTAGCAGTAGAGAAAATCATGACACATTAATAAGGTACACATTCTTATCTTTCTTTTAGTGGTTTTTAATTTTAATTATGTAATTTATACTTGGAATGTTAAATGCTTAGGTTGTAAGGAGAAAAAGAGGTGGTCACAAGTTTAGAGTGTAAGGAGGGACTTGTCTTTATCATGTTATAGGAGACCAAATTGGAAAATATGAATATAATGTAGTTTAGGGAGGCTTGAGGAAGTAACAGTTTTAAAGGAAATTGTATTAGGTAGGTAGCCGTTGTATAAGGTTTGATTAATATTTGTGATAAAGATTGTTTCGTCTTAGATTAAAAGCTGGAATCTTTGAAATATGGGTTTTGGATAAGCAGATTTAAAAGGGACAATTTAAGATGTGGAATAGGAAATATTTATGCACTTAACTCTAACAATGAGAGACAAAGATTCTAGGAGGAACTAGAACCAAATTAAAGGAGAACAAGGTTCCATAGATTCTTGGGAGGGGAGATTTTAGTGTCACTAGGACATTAGATGAACGGATAAGAAACTATGTGATTAGTACACCTATGGAAAAATTTAGGG